TATATTTTTCGGGTTTAACATTAATCGCTTCAAGAGCAGCGATCGAAAAATGACGTCACTGCATGTGGTAATGATGTGAATTCTATCTAGTTTTATTATAAAAATAATAACTTCCATCAAAAACTATTATTTATAAGTAAGGTAAAAGTGATTTAGCTGTAGTACAAAATGAAATTGCAAGTAATAAGTAATATGCTTTTGCCATATAGTTCGAGATCCTGTGTAAAAGATTTGCTTCAAAGATAAAATTCAAAATGTCCTCTATGTGTTTTCTTCATATTTCTTATCCGTGCCGTGCCGTGCCATTCTTATCCATCTCACGTTCAGTTGTATTTGTTTCGTTACTGCGCCATACTTCTGGTCAAAGTTATATTATATCAAATAGGACTAATCCGTTCAAATGGTATGTTAAAATTCGTCATTTTTATTTTTCTATTTTTCACCTATAATAAAATCACATCGTTGTTGAAACAACTGGGATTTGATTTTTCATTTCATATAATATTTTTTTTCAGAATCTTAAAGAGTTCATAAAAAAAATTACAAGTTTTGTTTATGGATAAAATCTAAAATTTGCAGAATGATTTTTATCTTTTCGTTTAATTTATAAAACATTAAAACTAGAAAGGCTTGGGAAGATATTCTGATCACGGAATTGCACCCTATTGATACACTAATAATTACTTATAAATTGAGTTTAATTGCAAAAATTAACAAATTAACCTTCGCGTCTCTATTCTACACTTTGACTTTCTCGCCCAAAATTATTACATCTATCCTCCGGTTTAACTTTTTTGTCACTTTTTTACTGCAAGGGAAAATTATGGATTAATATAAAGTTAATTATTCAATTATTACAATAAATAAATAATACCATTGATCCCAAATCATAATCCAAATGACCAATGATCTCCTGCGCCGGTCATAATAAACATATCAATATTTATTATTATTATTTATGCGACAATTGAACGATATTTCTCAAATAAAATCTGCTCTTCATCGTGCATTTTTACTTTCTTTAAAGCAAAGCATTTATCGGTTCCCACTTTCTATTTATTTAAAGCAATATCAACTGTTTTTTTCATTTTTCTCATTAATTATGTCTTGGTCAGAATTAATTGAAAATATTTTGTGAAAAAAAATTAAATAAGCCATGTTTATAAAACTTTTATGATTATAAATACAAAATTTTGATAGTTTAGATGTGAAAATTTGAAAACAATAAGTGATTTCAGCTACCTATGAAAAATTCTGAGTACAATTATTTAAAAACTTAAATTTATTATCATTGATATTTTGTCTGCTCTGCAAGTTTACTTTATAACTTTAATAAGGGTTTAAACGTCGGTTTTCTCATTATTTACGATTTTTGATAAAAATTAATTACCATTTTTAGAAATACTAAACTTTCCATACGTTCAAAAAGAACTACTAGACCGTATATATTCTGAATATTTTCCGTATGTTTAAATTCTTATATAACAAATTTTTTTGTTACGATTTTTGTGAATAACTTCACAATATTGTTATATTCAGTTCTTTCGTTTATGTATTTATAACAATTCTGTAATGTAAGCAGAAGGTATTAATTGAATAAAAATGAAGCAATTATGACAAATTATTCAGTGTTGCCTCAAAGTCGGCGCTCTACACTTTTGCAATGTCAATATATTAAACTAAGTAAATGCCAATCAATTAATTAAAACTGCGCAAGTGAATAATAAAATAATAAGAAAAATCGGAAATTAAAAAAGAAACATAAACGAGCGTTACAAATACGAATCTAAAAAGTTAAAACGGCGAACGCGAAGGTGTTAAAGGAAGGATTTTGAGGTGAATGTATGAAAAAATTATAACAAGGGTGAGCGTGGAATGTTGAGCTGTTTAAGGATTTACAGCTTGTATTTATAAAATAAAAATAATAATTAGGACAACTGGTGCTGGCTCCGTACCAGTCCTAAGATTGATCTACAAAGACTAACCACAAATATCGAAATTTAGCGAACTAATTGTAACAATACAATATCATAGGTTCAAAAATTTTAAACGTATTACAAATAATTATGTAAGTCTCACAAATTACAAATGCTAGGTTTAACAAAGTAGTTTTGTATGCACTTAAATATGCAACATTTAATTTCTTCGCCATTTTTTTTTTTTTTAATGAACATAAAGTTTCTTGAAAGTGCAAAAATTTAATTTTTGACTTGACCCGACCATTGCAAGTTCATTTCTATTTCAAAAGATTTATTCAGAAAATATTTTCGGATAAACATACGTTATATGTAACTTCTAATTCATTATTCAATATTCCGAGAGAATTTATTAATGATGTCATCTAAATCACTAGTCATCCTATTCCATATTTTTCTTATTCCGATATTTCAATCAACGTGTCCTCATTCCTTTCCTTTAACTGAACAAGAGGCTCCTTCAACTGAGCAAGATATATTTTGTAGAACTCATAAAGAATATTTAACCACCACAGTATTCTCAACCTGTGTACGAATTATTGGTTATCGGACGTAAGATGTTCAGTGTTCATACGTGCTGGAACCATATGAAATTTACTGTTAATTTTCTCTATTAATATATTTTTATATTTTGAATAGGTATGGTATGGTTACGGCTTGTTATGGTCGGTCATCGGCCTTTGACTGACCGACCGTTTAACGGTAATTGTCGCCGGAGGGCTATTTGGCCAAAAATCGAATTTTAAGACAAATTTCTTAAATGAAATTTTTCTTGTAAATCCTTTATTTGGTCACGTGGAATTATTGCGGAATTTACAGTAATTTAAAATTCATTGATTTTTTAACGTTAGCTGCTTTTCTGGTTAATTGACCACGTTATCTTAGATTACAACAAGGTACTTTATGCTTCTTGAGAACTAATTTAGAGTGTAAAGTGTAAAGAAAGAGAAATAAGAAGCAATAAAAAATCTAGAGCGAGAGCGTGAACATCATCAGCTTAAATGAATGCTCCCAACATAGGGATTACTTAGCTGAATCGAGGTTCTATACCTGGTTCCCTTACAAGAACAGGAAATTTAATTTACAGTAAAATGTCTAATGAGTTTGAATTTGCTTATTTGTAAGCACATAAAGAAATCTAAATTTGGCAATATTAGATACCTTAAATAATCTCCGTATTTCAATTTTGTACACTAATAATATAAATACTTTATGCATAATAAATTTCGGTTTCTGGAAGAGTTTAAATCACTGGATTCTTCGAACACGAAATAATATAATAATCACTAAAACTGACCTGAGGTTAAAAAGAAGATACTTGGCAGTATAAATTTAAAGCTTCACGTTTCAGTTATCTTATACAAAACTTGCAAGTGAACTTAAAATAACGTACGAAAGGTTAGTAATTCATATTATTATCTTTAATATTAATAAATATCAACTAAAATTGGATTTCTATACATGAATAATAAGCTTTTATTCGGAAATAAATCTTCTCGTTTTACTTCTTATTGGTTTATAATCCAATGAATTAAAAGAACAAGAAATAAAAAAATACCAAAGTTAGTGATCAGAACCGTCATTAAAAATTTTAATCGGTTATCCAAGTTCGGTTAACCGGCTAAATTAATTAACTTATTAATAATTAACCGGTTCTAATCACCAAACTTTTAGTGAAAGAAACTTATAGTTTATAAAATGCTTTAATTTATGACTTATCATAAATTATTCCTTATCGTTATATAAACTAATACTTCAAACAATTCCAAATTCATTCTAAAGTTATCAAAAAAAAAAAAGTATGCCTAAATTACTAACTGACGTCGAAAATTATGAGCGTACTTTTCGAAATTTTTAAGTTTAAATATAAATATAATATATCATATTTATGTTTAACTGACAAAATTAATTTAATTTCTTCAAAAATTCAATAAAAAAAATTTATATTTCATCATCTCACATTATCAAATTAAATAATTAAACTCATCATTTTTCTGAGATAGTTTAATTCTTTATTAAATGTATAATGTAATATTTTTCTTAATTGTTTAATAAAAATAATTAAAATAATTTGTATATAGCAGTCATTTATTCCTAATAAACTTTTTAATTGATTATCTTATTCAATCTTATTATTAAAATCGAAATAAATCGCTTATTCATTGGAGTTATACAACTAACTAAATTAGGAGATTATAAAAAAAGGGATTTTTTTACGGTTACACCGTTCATAATGAGCAGCGGCTTAGAAATTTTATAAATTTTGCTCTTAGAACCAATCAAAATAAATAAATAAATAAATGTTGCATGATCTACCGAGTGCATTTTTTTTCTCATTTCGCTTGAATTAAAATAAACCAAAATGCAAGCTTCCAATAATTCAAATGAATGGTTTGAAGAATATATTTCAAGAAAAGATATCAAACACTACGAATACAAACATTTTATTAATTTTGAAGAGATTGGTAAAGGCAGCTTTGGAAAAGTCTTCCGTGCAAATTGGAAAAGTTCAAAGCAATACCTCGCGTTAAAATTATTACATGACTTTAACAATACCACTGTTAAAGAACTTGTTCGTGAGATAATTACAAATGTAATACGTATTGCATTTCATTCTATTTATTATAAAATCATTTATTTATCAAGATAAAATTTATATTCTTAATAATTTAGCTTGAATTTCAACGGGATGTTGATTTTCATTGTAATATCATTCGCTTTTTGGGGATTACAGCATCAAACCAAGGTATAACATCTTATATAATTAAGTTTTTAAAGAATTCGTATTTCCTTTACATTTGAAATTTTAACTCATTTATATATTTTTAAAAAATTAAAACAATTAGAAAATCAATTGAAAAAATATTGGTTAGTAATGGAATATGCT